CAGGACCCAGAGATCATGACCTGAGCCGAACGAAACCAAGAGTTGGTTGCTTAACCCATTGAGCCATCCAGGCACCCCAAGAAACAGATTGTTTTAATTCACAAAGTCATCAGTGACAAAATTAGTTGGAATCCATAATAGGTATTTTTTCTCCCTGTCTTGAGTGTGTGCTGTGAGAGTCTGCAGGACATGCATCTTTTTACACGTGTGAGAGAGGCAGAGAGAGAGAAAGGCGTTCCAGTGTGTTGCTCCCATATTTTCACGTTTCATTTGGGGGTAAGGTGTGCAAAACAAGGCTGTTGATTGTATCTGCATCTCCTGGCCTCGGAGGTGTTCGGTGAGGTCAAAAGCAGCCCGGAGTCCACCGGATGTGGGTGCACACCCTAGCCATGCCTCCTCCATCTTTGTGACTTTGGACATGCAGCTTAACCTCTCTGGGCCCCAGTTTCTCCCTGTGTGAGTTGGGATAATGATAACAATAATTCGCTCAGCGGTGTGAGGACCACATGGGATGACACGCGTGAGGATGTGAATTACAGAGCCTGGTGCTGCAAAGTAAGAGCCCGTTATGGTTCATCTTAATGCAGCTGTGAACCTGGGGTGGGGGCGGGGAGTAGTTGACGGGGATAGGATTTTGCTCAGACCAGGACGTCTGGACTCAGAGATTCCCAGGTATGGTTTAAACAGCCTGGTTATCTGGTACCCTTAGCACCCTTCAGTTTCTTCCTATGTGAGAATCCAGCAGATTCAATGCAGATTCAAGACTCAGAGGGGTGACCCCAGCCAGTCCCATCCTGCTTGGCCCCATTAGGCAGAGGGGAGGGCTCCCCGGGCTGGTCACCTTCACCCTGCCCATCTCCCTTGGTTGTGGCTCATTAGGTTAAATCGTGAGAGAGCTGAGCATGGTTGGAAAAGAATATACAGATGTAAGGGACCTCAGACCTCAGTCAGTAAAAGGTTAAAATTTGTTCAGACAGTTGCATTTATAATGGCAAGCAAAGAGGAGACACATTTTGGGAATACTGAAGGAACAAATATCAGTGATTTAAGAAATTCATTGGCACCCAAATACCTCATTCCACACCTCTCTCCCCCATTCTCTCAGCGGGGACCCAGGGGAGTGGAAGTCAGTTTTGGGGGAGGGGCGAGGTTTAAAAAAAAAAAAAGAAAGAAAAAACAAGTCTTAGATATTACAGTAGTGTGTGGCCCTCCAAAACTCAACCCTATCCAACGAAATCTTATTTCTTAGTATTTTGTTTTCTCTTGTTAGGCAGAAATTAAATTATATTTAAATTAATTAATTAAATTTAAATATAATTTTATTTTTCTCCTTGGGGGCAAGGGTGGGGGGGTGGAGGCAGCTATAATGAAAACAAGACAGAGAAATCCTGTTCTGTACCCAGGTTTGATGAGTGAAGCTACTCCTGGGATTCAGTCCCGTAAGCCCAGGATTAAATATCCTTATACCCCTCACTGCCCATTTAAGAGAGAATCTCTCGAACCATGAGAGACTATGGACTCTGAAAAACAAACCGAGGGTTCTAGAGGGGAAGGGGTGGGGGAGTGGGTTAGCCTGGTGATGGGTATTAAAGAGGGCACGTTCTGCATGGAGCACTGGGTGTTATATGCAAACAATGAATCATGGAACACTACATCAAAAACTGATGACGTAATGTATGGTGATTAACATAACAATAATAATAAAAAAGTGGATTAAAGAAAAAATGTGGAAAAAAAAGAGAATCTCTCACTGAGGAAATCGTGGAGACTTGGAACAAAGGGAGTTTTCAGCTAGGGGCCCCAAAATTCCAACTGGCACATTGACAGGTGAGAAGGTGGGGGCCAGGATCCTGCGGCTGGTCGTAGGCCAATTTCCAGGTCCGCCTCCAGCCCTTCTTGTATTAGAAATGCTTCTCTGTGCATTAGGCATGCCTCCTTTCCTGTGGCCTTTGGTCACCCTGGGCTTCATGACCTGGGGCCTCAGCGCAGCATGGAAACGCAGGGCCCCCAGTTCCCTAAGTCTTCACAGATTCAGGATGGTAGCTGCAGGGTATTGGGCTGAGCACAGTCTCCGGGGTGTAGGGCCTGTGGGGCTGCCCTGGTCACATTTTCTGATTTGAACGGTGAGTTTGGAATGCCTCCCTGTGGATTTGGAAGTCATGGCAGAGCCATTCTGAGGTGGGGAACACGGAGCTCCCCAACCCTGATGAGCATTTCCTTCAACTCTGTGGGGATGCGTGGGGGAAGGTGGTTGGAGAATCGCCTTTAACGAGTTCTTTTAAAAGGGCAGTCAAGAAAAACTACTCTCGGGGGGCCTAATAACAAAGTTAAACAAGGGGGGGAGGGAGGAAGGAGACCCCCTCGTTGGCTCCTTTATTCCTCCGCTGGAGGCTCCCTGTAACTATGACAACCTGGCTGTCCCAGCCAACCGCCCAGGGCCGCAGAAGGGGCGCTCGAGGCCGCGCTTTTCGGTGGCAAAACTATGGCTTTGCTCTTCTGCTGAACTCCAAGATGCTTTCCTCTTTGTCCCAGGAAAAGGAGCACACAGGTATTAGATGGAATTGTGCTTGCACCTCAGCACATCGGTGGCCTGATCTGGAGGGACAAGGGTTCTCTGGGGACAGTGGACTGTGTGTGTGTGTACCTGTAGGTGCATCTGTATCTGTGTGTGTGTGTGTGTGTGTGTGTGCGCATATCTGTGGGGGTGGGGGTGGGAGAGAGGGGGACTCTTTGCCCCCCTTGAAGAGTTCCGCCTTGGGGGGCAAGGACCAGGAGGTGGTGGCAGGTAGAGCAGACCCTCCCCGGAGGGGGCGGCGCGGTGGGTGGCTAGCTGGGCCCCCTGCCCCCCTGGGGAAGCCCAGTTGAAATGGTTGCGGGGGGGGGGGGGGGGGGGGGGGGGGGGGGGGGGGGCGGGGGGGGGGGGCGGGGGGGGAGTGTGGGGAGAAGAAAGAGCAGGAGGAATGAGCGAAGTGGCATTTCCTGGCCTGGGGCCTGGGGAAGGGAGGCTGTGGAATTTATTTAGAAAAGCCTTCAAACCAGCTGCTTACGGGTTTTGTTTTGTTTTCACTCCCCTAGCCCGCCGCTCTTGTTCCTTTTCAGCATCCTAAGCGTTGTTTACGAGGCTGTTTGGGACAAAATCAATGTTCCCGAGAGGCAGGGTCCTCAAGTTCAGAAACTAGGCTGCAGCCACGAGACCAGGATGCCCGTGCGCTAAGCAAGCCGGCCTTGATTTCCAGAAGCGCAGGCCTTTCCTTCCTTGAGAGGAAAGGAGCCCCCCCGCCCCCCAGCACCTCATGTCCGCTCTGGACAACAGACTCAGCTGCCTTGGGTCACTTTTGGAGGAGGGAGCAGTGGTTCTGAAGGGGAGGGATTCGGCTTCCGAGTTGAGTCATTGTTTCCCAGCGGTTTGACCCAGGCTTTTTTTTTCTGCACAATTCGGGGCACTCCAAGATCTCCTTTCCCCTCCCAAAGCTGTCTGCTTGCCACCGCAGCACACCGTACTATTTTAGGCCCTCTGTCCGCCCCGGTGTTTTCGGCCCTTGTGGTTTTCTGCTGTGAGTCAGTTTTCATAATAAATTGTGTAGGCAGCTGGGGGTCTGCCTTTCCTGAGACAGGAAGGGACAGCGAGTCCTTGACGTTCGGCGAGGTCGTGAATTCCTCCAGCGCACCAAGGGAGGCGGCCGGCCCCCACCCGGAGTCTGGTGGGGCCAGAAGCGGCAGCTGGGGGCGGGGGTGGGGGGGGGCGGTGTTCCTGGGGAAGGAACATCAGCCAGCTTCGGGGGGTGAGCCTGGTGAAGAAGTGTCCTGGGGCTACCTCCCTTCTTCCTTCTGCTTTTCTGTTCCTGTCTGTCAGAGGAAACTGACAACATTGTATAACCACTGTGCACAATCGTTTTCTCATTTTTATACCCGGGACCCGTTTGCACAAAGATGCCCTGCGATCTCGTCAGCTCCCCTTCTGCCTTCCTCCTGATTAACTGTCCCCGCAGACTTGGATGTGGCCGCCACCCACCATCCCCCCCCAACACCCAGGGCCCTTCCAAGGTTTGCCTCTTGCTCCGACAGAGCTGCTTCATCTATGCTTTCTAGGGTTGGACCTTTCCTCTTCTCTGTAACCTTCCATGACTCCCTGTGTTCCATTGTTCTGCCGTCCTGTAGAAGCAGGAAAGTGTGAGCCACGTGGGTAGTTTAAACACTTCTTAGTAGCCATGTTTTTAAAAAATACAAAAACGGGTGAAAGGAATTGCAACAATGCGTTTTACTTAACTTCACTTATCTAAAATGTTATCATTGCCAGTATAAAAAAATTACGAATGGAATATTTCATGTGAATGTTTTACAATTTCTCAAAATCCAGGGTGTATTTTATGTTGACGTCATATCCCAAATTGGATGCTAGTATTTTGTCAGAAACGTTTGATCTAGATTCAGAGCCCATGACGTTCGCTGTTGGAAAAGTAGATTCACATAGCCAAGTTGCCCCTCAGAAAGGTGGGAAAACTTAAGTTTCTGTAAGCTTATGGAATTTTCCAGTAATTGCATGGTGTATTAGATTTGTTTAATTTATTTTTTTTTTTAAGAGAGAGGGAGAGAGTATGTGAGTGGGGCCAAGGGGCAGAGAGAGAGGGAGAGAATCTTAAGCAGACTCCGTGCTGAGTGCAGAGCCCAACGTTGGGTGGGATCTCACGACCCTGAGACCATGACCTGAGCCGAAATCGAGAGTCGGACGCTTAACCGACTGAGCCACCCAGGCGCCCCTGGATTTTAAATTTTAAATCATGTAACCTTGAAATACAATGTAAAAATTCAATTCCTGGGTCCCAGAGGCCGCACTGAATGCCAGTGGCCGAGTGTTGTGTGTGTGTGTGGGGGGGGTGCTGCTGGGCAACCGTATCGGACAGCCCAGATGGAGAACATTTCCATTCTTCCACAAGGTTCCAGCGGGCAGACTTATACAGTAAATCCCAAATACCTCCATAGGGCTTTCAGATTTCCTACAACCCGGCCCCAACCTGTCTAGCTTTATTTATTGACTCTCTTTGACATGTGTCCACTTTCCCATGCTTCTCTTTCCCCTCCGAAATCCCCTGTCCTCTCCTCCCCCAGAGAAATCTCTTTCCGTCTCTGCTTAAAGACAGAGAGCTTCCTCGAAGGAGTCTCCCCTTCTCCCCGCAGCAGAATTAATTGCTGCCTCCGCTTCCCATGGGTTCCCAAAGGCGAGGCAGAGTGTGGGGGGGAAGAGGCGGCAGGACCGTGGCACGCCGCCCTGGGAGCTCATTTCCCCATTTCTCCTGAGGCAGGTTTGAATGGATCTTCTGAGGCTGCAGTAGCCCTGCCCCTTTAGAAAAACACAGTGACACAAGGGCCGCACTGTGTCTTCCAGCCGCCCCGGGGCTGGGGCCGCTGTGCACAGGGCTGCAACAGGAACACACCCTGGGTACCGGCCACGTAATTCTAGGCGGGCATCAGCTCTGCCCCCACCGGGGGGAGGGGTTGGAGGGGGAGTGGGGGGGCAGGAGCGGGAATGGGGGGGACCCTTTCTTTGCCCTCACAAAAGGAAATATGTGCCTGGCTCCGATACTCCTTTCTCGAAATGGGAACCAGCGTGTGCGTGCGTGTGTGTGTGTGTGTGTGTTTACTTTTTAAAACTATAACATACAAATAGAAAAGTGCACACATCGTAATTGTACCACTTGGATGTTCACGTAGTGTGCACACCATGTGTCCGCCCCCAGGTGAAGAAAAAGCACAGGAGCGGCCCCTTAGAAGACCCCCGCACCCCCCCTTCCAGCCTCCACTCCCCACCCCTCCAGGAACAACCGCTTCCCCGACTTGACTTCTGGCCTGACTTCTGGCCCGTGACTCATTCTGCCTGCTTCTGGATGTAAATGGCATCACACCGTGTGTCCGTCTCTGCCTTCCTAGTCTGTGGTTGAGTTTGAATGCCTTTGTCTCTTCCGGCATCTAAAATGCTTTTATTTTTTTTATTTTTTAAAGATTTTATTTATTTATTTGACAGAGACACAGCGAGAGAGGGAACACAAGCAGGGGGAGTGGGAGAGGGAGAAGCAGGCTTCCCACTGAGCAGGGAGCCCGATGCGGGGCTCGATCCCAGGACCCCGGGATCATGACCTGAGCGGAAGGCAGACGCTTAACGACTGAGCCACCCAGGCGCCCCTAAAATGCTTTTAGTAAAAACCACAGTGGTTAAAAAGAAGCAGACAATGCTCCATGTGAAAGGCAGGCCATTGTTACTTGGTCCTTTTGAAGTGTGAAGAAGAAAAGCTTCTGCTCTAAGTGGGGTGATGTGTGCCCATGGCATTTTTCTAGGTTTTGATGATTTGGGGTTGTAAATATTTACCTTTTAGCTTCATTTAGGGAATCCCTTGTTAGGGTGATCATTCTTGGGTCTGGGAGGGACATTAGCTCCCTTTCTGGCTTTTGACAAGGCTGGACACAAGCCTTGTCTTCATGTTTTCTGTTTGTCCGGTAGAAATTGGAAGATTCGGGTGGAAAAGGGAGAGGGAGAGGGGAGTGTCACTCGCATTTCTGATCCCATGTCTTCTGGTTTTGCTTTAGGTAAAATGTCTGTTCCAGGATCCTACCAGGCGGCCGCCGGGCCTTCCTCGGTGCCAACTGCACCCCCATCCTACGACGAGACAGTGGCCGTCAACAGTTACTTCCCCATGCCTCCTGCCCTCGTGCCGGGGCCGACCACAGGGCTGGTGACCGGCCCGGACGGCAAGGGCATGAATCCGCCTGCCTACTACACGCAGCCAATGCCCGGCCCCAACGCCAATGCAAGTACGTGCCACCTCCCGCGCCCCCCTTACCTCTCCTTGGCCCTCCACTCTGGCCTTGGGGACTCTGCGAGAATCAGGGGAGCCACGGAAGCACGTCTGCTTAAGGGTCTAAGCCAAGTGCCGGTCAGTCCGGCTAGACCCCTCGTCCTGGAATGTGTCCCATCTGGTCTTCTGGGTTCCACGCCTCGGGGGCTCGCATCTTTTCCCTAACAAAGCAGTTTATGAGCTCTCCCAGGTCAGCCGCAAAGCGACCCTTTGTGCTAACCACAGAGGCCCACCAACAATCCCAGAGAAACTGGGGAATGGGAGTGGGCTTTTAAGGGCCCCCACCCTTCCTGCTGAGGCCAGGGCTGCAGTGGGGGTGGGGGGAGAAGAAACAGCCAAGAGTTAGGAGCTGGTGAGCAGACACTGGCCCAGCCCACGCCTGCGTGGCTTGCGTGGCTTCCCTGCCTTCCAGCAACTTCTTTGTGGTCTTGCCCCTTGGGACTTCCTGCCGCCCAGGTGTGCCCAGGTGCGTAGCTGATTCAGCATCCCCAGCAGCTGAGGAGGGAGGAATCGCCAGCTCAGAGAGTAGGCCCGTGAGTCAGACTGCCTGGGTTCGCCTGACCGCCTGGTGCCTCAGTTTCCCCACCTATAAAATAGGGTTCATCAAGTGCCTCCATCAGTGGGTTGTTCAGATGAAATAAAGTTCTGTGAGTAATCCTTTGATAAAAGTGAGCTATTGTCGTCGTGTTCAAGTAACTTTGACCCTTCAGATAGAAGAGAACAAGGTGACTTGAGACTGATCATGCTCTGATCAATAATTTATTGCACCAAAAAAAAAAAAAAGACTTTAATACAGTTTACATGTGAGTGGTCAAGTATGCTTAAATACTGCTTTTCTGGAAGGAGAGTCTTTCTAGGAGTATTAAGTTCTGTTGGCTTGGACAACAATGAATTTCCCCTAACACATAGATTATAGAAATGGCATTCCAGCACCACAGAAAGGAACAGAAGGAAGTCACTTGGACAGAAATACGAGCTCAAACAACTTTGCCAAAACCCAAAAACATTCTGAATGCTAAGGACTTCACGATTTATATCACTCCGGGCTCTCCTCTGGTGGCTGTGAACGCCTGTACGAGTTTTTCTTATCGTTTTCTCTTTTTAGCACGATTTTAGGTACTCATTTCATGTGTCAGCTCGATTCCCAGACTCCTTGCAAAGCCTGGGCCAGCGTCCCCGGGCTCAGTAAATACCAGCCTTATCACTGGGCGTTGGACTTAGTCAAGAGCCCCATGTGAAATGAACGAACTGTGTAATCGAGGGTTCGCCATGACCTGGACTGTGAGCTGCTTTACTATCCTTATCTTATGGAATCCTGGCAACAACCCTATTACTTCCATTTTTAAAAATAAAAGCATTACGGAGATATAATTCCCGTCCCCTGGAGTTTAGTCTTTCAAGGTGTCTGATTCGGTGCGGTCAGTATAGTTACAGAGTTGTGCAAGCATCAGCACTCATTCCAGACTCTTTCCACCACCCCAGAAAGAAACCCCATCCCCCCTGCCCCTGGCAACCACTAATCTATGGATGAAGAAAATTGAGGCTAAAACCCCGTCATATCACCGTTTCTGGAGTTACCATCTGCAGACCACCTTCGTGGAACCACACAGGTTGCTGAAAGAGCCTTCTGGGGACCTTGCCCCGGACCTGCTGACTCCTCATGTCCTGGCCGGGGGGGCGGGGGCGCCGGGGGGGAAGGAACCTGCATCAGCAGTAAACTCCCCACCCGATTCCGTGGTCAGTGGGTTCGAAAGCCTGGTCGTGCTGAGCCAAATCCCAGCTCCAGGAACTTCTCCCCATCTCACATGGCGGGGGAGGTCGGGGGCGTGGAGAGCGCCCCAAATGATAATGCTGGAAATCTGCCACTGTTTTGGTAAAATACACGTCGCGTCAAATTGATCACCGGAAGCATCTCTCGGGGTACAGTTGAGTGGCATTAACAAGCACATTCACATTGTTGTGCAATCATCACCACCATCCCTTTCTAGAACTTTTTTTTTTACTTTTTTTATTGTCATGTTAACCACCATACATTACATCATCAGTTTGTGATGTAGTGTTCCATGATTCATTGTTTGTGTATAACACCCAGTGCTCCATGCAGAACGGGCCCTCTTTAATACCCATCACCGGGCTAACCCATCCTCCCAACCCCCTCCCCTTTCTAGAACTTTTTAAATCTTGTAATCACGGAAATTCTATACATGCCAAACAGCAGCTCCCCGTTACCCCCTGCCCCTCTCCCAGCCCCTGGCGTCCACCGTCTCTTCTCTGTCTGTGAATTGGATGATCCGGGTGCCTCATATACGTGAAATCCTGCTGTGTGTGTCCCGTGGCTGGCTTACGTCCCTCAGTGTCATGTCCCGAAGGTTCGGCCGTGTTATAACGTGGGGCAGAATGTCCTTTTGAGGCCGAGCGAGACGCCACTGTCTGGCCAGCCCCCATCATGCTTATCCGTTCGCTCACCCGTGGACACTTGGGTGGCTCCCCCCGTTTGGCTCTCGTGAACGGTGGGTGGGCCAGCCCCTCCGTGGAGACCGGGCCCCCCCCTCCTGGTTGTCTGACGGATGCTTTCCCCATTCACCGATCGCCCCTACCTGTTCCCGCAGTTGCTGTGCAGACCGTGTACGTGCAGCGGCCTGTCTCCTTTTTCGACCGTCCGGTCCAGATGTGCTGTCCTTCCTGCAACAAGGTGATCGTGACTCAGCTGTCCTATAATGCCGGCGCCCTCACCTGGCTCTCCTGCGGGAGCCTGTGCCTGCTGGGGTAAGTCCGGGGCCCACTCGGCCCCCAGGCTCCTCCTCGTTCCTCTCTTGCAGGATTTCTCCACCGCAGCACGTCTATCTGTGCCGCTCAGACCACTCCCTGCGTGTAGGGCAAGCACAGCAGCCCCGGCATCGGTCTTAGTTAAAAATCAACATTCTGAGGAATGTCTTTTTCTTTCTTTCTTTCTTTTTCTTGAAGAATTTCACGACCTAAATAATAATGTTTGCCCGACTGTGAGAGAAGCTTTGAACAACTTGCACATTAAAATACTTCACAGTCATCTCTTCAACACTTCTTATCCTTTTAGGACCCCGAGTATTTTTCCCATGGTCTACACAGGGAAAGTGTGTCTTTATGTCTGCCCCAAGGGTATTATACTGAAAGAGATCATAGTTTTTGTTCTGGGGGAAATTTGAGGAAGCACAGTTTATTTATTTATTTATTTTTCCCCAAACAGATAAAGGCAATCGCCTTATTCCTGGCTCTGTTTTCTCCCTCGAAGGAAACAGTGTCTGTGCGTTTCTCTTTTAGGAGCCCTGGCCTCTCGTACAACTGGCTTGTTCCTGTTTGTGGCTTAGCCTAAGAAGGAATGATATTTCTCTTCTTCATTTCGAAGGGAGGCGCAAAGCCCCAGAGAGCTTAGCTTCCTTGAGGACACATGTTCAGTGGGGGTAGAAAGGAGAGCAGACAGGTTTCTTGGCACTGGATTCCCTGTCCTGCCCACGGGACTGCAGTGAAGGCTGACCTCTTCAGTCCCTGGACCAAAAATGTGAAATAAAAGCTCATCGTCCTTGGACATTTTATTAAAATGCATTTTTTTTTTTAAATCTTAGAAACCAGGGAAAGACAGGATGAGAACTCTTGAATGTCAGCCTCTGCTGATCTAGCTCTCAAATCGAGGCAGCTTTTCTGTCCCTCCCTCCTTTTCTTCCCTTCACGTGGCGTTGTGGGTTCAAGTCCTACCTCTCACTGCTGTGTGACTGTGGGCAAGTGACTTCACCTCTCTGTGCTCCAGTTCCCTCCTCTGAAAACTGGAGGTAGTAATGCCCCCGCCCAGGGGGGTTGTTGCGGATAAAATAAGTGAATATGTGTGTCCCACAGTTCGGAGCTCTGTATTCGTAAGCGTGCGGTAAGGTTTAGTGCTAATGCACTGAGGCACCCTTACTTGAATTTGGGTAAACTTAGGCAGTAGGAGGAAGTTTTTTGCATGAGGTTGTTTCCTCATCAGGCTGTATCCTGTTTCTCCTTTATGTAAATCATTGTCTTCCTGTAACTTGTTTTTTTTGTTTTTTTTTAATTGAATCATAATTGACATACAATAGTATATCAGTTTCAGACCTAGAAGATAGTGATTTGATATTTTTATACATTATAAAATCACCATGATAGGTCTTGTTTAACCATCTGTCGCCCTGTCAAGTTATGACAGTGTTATGGATTATATTCCCCATGCTTGCGTTATAAAATGTTGATTTTTAACTAAATTTGGACCAACATTGGTTGTAAGGCTGTGGGGGTGTTTTCTGATACCGTCTAGCTCTCCAACAGCAGCTGGGTGTCTGGTGATTCCATTCAGTTCTGACACTACTTGGAGTTAGTGCAGAGCCCACGGCTTAAGGACCCAGTGCCCTAGACTACCCCCCAGTAGAGATGTGAGTCACAAGCCTCAGACCACCCGGATTTCCGACAACCAGCTATAAATTGAGGGTCCTACCATCCTTTCTTCCGGTTTGCTAATTTGCTAGAGCAGCTCACAGAACTCAGGAAGGCACTTTAATTACATTTACCAGTTTATCATGAAGGACACACATGAGCAACAGCTTGATGAAGAGGGAGAGAGGACGAGGTCAAGAAGGGTCCCCAGTGCAAGAGCTTGTGTCCCTGTGGACCTGGGGTGTTACCCGCTCTCTTGGCACGAGGATGCGGTTACCAATCCTGAAGCGCTCCAAATATAGTTGTTCAAGTGTTTTTATAACCTGACCCCAGCGCCTGTCCCCTCCCTGAGGTCTGTGGCTGGGGCTGAAACTTCTAACCTTGGAACCACGAACCAAGGATCTCTCTGGTGACCAGCCCTATCCTTTTTTTTTTTTTTTTTTAAGATTTTATTTATTTATTTGAGAGCGAGAGCGAGAGAGAGAGAATGAGAGAGAGAACACGAGAGGGGGTAGGGTCAGAGGGAGAAGCAGACTCCCTGCTGAGCAGGAGCCCGATGCGGGTCTCGATCCCGGGACTCCAGGATCATGACCTGAGCCGAAGGCAGTCGCTTAACCAACTGAGCCACCCAGGCGCCCTGACCAGCCCTATCCTAAGGCAGGGACCCTGCCCTGGTCGCCTTATTAGCATAAAATCAGGTGTGATTGAAAGGGGCTTGTTTTGAATAACGGAAGGCACTCACTCCGGTCACTCAGGAAATTCCCAGACTTTTGGAGCTAATTGCCAGGAACTGGGGAGAGAGACCAGATCTAGTTCTTATTCTACCACAGGCTGTCTGAAACTCCTACCTGGGTGCACAGATAATGGATTATGTACATTAAGAGATATTATTTGGGGAATTTTGTTTGGTGGTTACCGTAAGAAGCGCCCTCTCCATATGGAAGAATAATCAGTCTAGACACCGGGGTTAGCAAACTACAACCCTGGGGCCAAATCCAGCCCATTTTAGTTCAATGGGAACATACCACACTGTTTACAGATTATCTGTGGCGGTTTTGGCAGAACAAGGTCTGTGTAGCCTAAAATATGTACCATCTGGCCCTTGACACAAGAAGGTCACTGACCCCAGTCTAAGACTGAAAGATGCTGGCATGCCCCAAGAGTTGAAAATACCCCCAGGACGGTCTGTCTTGAGAGAACAGGCTCGGCGTGGGTTGCTGTATTCGTTGCCGTGACAGATAACCACAAACGTGGCGGCTTCAAACAATACAAATCTATTCTCTCACAGTTTTGGAAGCTGCAACACAAGTCCACAGTCAAGGTGCCGTGCTCCCTCGGGTGGAGACTCTAGGGTCCTTGGCTCGTGGCTGCAAGACTTCAGTCTCTGCCTGCATCGTCACGTGGCCTTTATCCCTCCCTGTCTTTCTGTGTATCCCCTCCTCTTCTTGTAAGGACATCAGTCTTTGAGTTGAGGGAGCCCCCCTGGATCTTCCAGGACGATCCCATCTTGAGATCATTCGTGACACCTGCAAAGACCCTGGTCCTAAGGACGGTCAGAACCAGAGTTCCTGTGGGCTTAGGACGGCCGACCTATCTTTTTGGTGGCCACCATCCACAACTGTGATAGAGGGTGACACGCTCTGTGTCTGTTTTTGTCCTCCAGGTGCATAGCGGGTTGCTGCTTCATCCCCTTCTGTGTGGATGCCCTGCAGGACGTGGACCACTACTGTCCCAACTGCAAAGCTCTCCTGGGCACCTACAAGCGCTTGTAGGACTCGGCCCGACCTGCAGGGCGCCGCATGCTGCCGGAAGCGCTCTCCGCCTCTCACCCCGTCCCGCCCCTGGTGTGTGTGTGTGGGGGGGTCCCACCTCGGTAGCCGCATCTCTCCAGGGGCTTCACCTTCGTGTCTTCTTTTGGGGGAAAAAATATCGCAAAAGTAACACACCTCCTCCAGAACCCCAGAGATTGCTGCTTGGAGGTGTGCACAGGACATGCAAAGACATTCACCTCGAGTGCTGGTTCCCGCCTACCATGTCGCCAAGTCACCCACCTGACTGTTGCCCCATCGGAATATCTTCTGGCGATTGGCCATCGGCTGGCTTCACTTCTTGCCTCCGTAGGCCTTTCTGGGGAGAGGTCTCAAGCTGAGAAGCCACAGGTTGCCTTATTTTTCGAGACTGTTCTGGCCCGAATACGGCCGACCCCGCCTTTAGTGCCTGCGTCCGTCCACCTGTTCCCATTTCTCGTGACAAAAATCTTTGCCTCGTCGGCGAAGGGCTTGGCTCTCAGAGCCTGTCACTGTGGGCTTTTCATTAGCACACAAATTCACTTTACTTTTTTCATTCCTTTTTTAAGTGCCAGGGGGAGCTATTCCCACCCACGAGGTCCTACATGTGAGCTGGAGATGCAGGGCTGGCTCTTACCGCGGACCTGCCCCCCGGCCCCCAACCCCATTCTCGGCACCAGATCCTCAGCCCCTTCCGGGGAAGGGCTTTTTTTCTTCTAGGGGAATTGTTTGTCTTAACAACTGTTTTTTCTGACCTCCTTTTCGTCTTCATTTTGAAATACAGAACCATTTTTCTTAACCATATGATTGCTACCACTTACTATTGATCAACGCATTCTTTTTTTTTTTTTTTTTTGGTCCTTAACAGAAAAAGCAATGGATAATCTTATCCTTTTATCCACTGCCTCTACTTGGGGTTAGTGCGGTTCTTAAAAACATCTGTAATGGGACTCTTCAAGGGGGACCTCTTTGGGAAACCCAGCGGTGTGTTTAGAGAGACAGAGGAATGCACAGGGTGAGCACATCTGGGTACCATGGTGCTGGAGAGCTTGGGGACCTGACGCCTCAAAGGAATCTAAATTCTGATTTTATTTTTCAGAAATAGAATTTGTTGTAGGACATCAGAAGACATGATTTCTAGGACTCAATCAACAAGCCAGAGTTCTCGGTTAGCGCTGCGTCATCTCCGAAATCAAGATAAAGCTGGGCTCGACTTCCTCGAGAGTCCCCGTTTTGATAATAAATAGGCACAGGGAATGCATGTGAATAATAATATGTAGAAATCAAGCCTAGACCTGGAACGAAAATCTGTATATTGGCCAAAAATTATAGCTGTAACCAGTGATCCAGCTTATTCATTCGATGTTTTGAAAGTTCCAGTAATTATTTTTGCAACAAATACGGATACTACATAGTACTTTGGTGTTATCTGCTTTTGAAAAAATAAAGTCTTTGGTTCACTCAGTGAACTATTTATCAGTTCTTACGGTGTGAAGAAAGGTCTTGTGTTGCGTTTCCAGCCACTGATACAAAGAACCTTTATTTGTTCCATGATGGTAGAAAACCCTTCATGATAAAAACGTCAGACTCGCTGAATATCCCTCCACGTCAAGATGACCGATGGTGAGTTGGGTGGATGGCTAGCGAGTCCGATTTGGACGTTAGGCTGTTGGAGCTCACTAGGCATTATCTATGGCATAAGGCATAGCTTTCAAGTTTTAATAAAATGCACAGAAGAAAGCTGTCCTCATTCATTCTCCAAACAAAACATGCTTTGTTAGTTGATCGGGGCAGTTGTGAGATGCGAGAAGGGGGGCATTGTTAACTCTGCCGGGAATATGAATGTCATCCACCCTTCTCCTACCTGGTGATAAAGCTTCATTCCGGAAGGCACAGGACAATCATGTCCTCTTGGTGTGGCCGACGTTGTCGTTTAAACTCTTAACTTCAACAGTCCTGAAAAAATTGCCGCTCACCCGATCTTGAGCGTGTGTTTTCCTTTCGTTTGACAAAATGAGGGCTGTGCATATTTAGCGGTTTTGCTCAGATGGGGGTATATAAATTGTCTCAAGCTGTTATTAATTACATATGCAGAGTCTACAAAACAAGAGCCCTATTTCAAGGACCATAAAACATACACTCTGTGGGACTAAAAATAATGTCAGATGCCTGGAGTAGGAAGCCTCCATCTGTCATTCCCTTGTATTGTGCGGAGGGTGGGCTTACTCATATATGGTTACAAATTAAAAGGCTCTTTTGTTTGGCCTCTGGCATCGGGGACGTCAGAGTTAAGTTTGTTAACACGGAATCACATTCAATTGATGGAAGAGCCCTATATCTGCTTAGACCTCAAAGTAGGATTCTGCCAATTTCAAGCCCCCGATGGCCGTCTGTCTTAACCTGCTGTTAGTCCGTCTAGGAGAGGTGGGTTTCTGCAAAAGTGCGGGATGTGTGTCTTGTTAACAAAAAGCATTCAGTTAGTTATAGCTTCTATTTAAGCCAACTAGAAGCACATGACTGGTTCCTGGCTGACCACAGCGCTACCCATGAAAATGTTTTCTCTAGGACAGTCGGCTTCCCAGTTGCTACTGTGAGCACTTCTGTTGGGCACTGAGCTATTCATAAATGTGGCTTCATACACTCACACAGCTTGGCCTCGCTTTTCTCCCCAGCAACAGCCTCTCATGTTCAGGATGTTAAAATCCTTCTCTGATATTCTGGGCTCAAAGATCTCTATTAGGAGTAAATGGAGACGTTGGAATTTTACTTCCAAAATTCTGATTTCCATTTTGGATCCTATTAAAGTTATCTCCTGCATTTATGACTCAAATGTTTACAATGAACCGTCTGTTTTTCATAGGTGCATGGGAGAATTGTAAGTAGATCCAGCAAGGCGATGAAAGAGAGAAACCAGGAGGGGTTTTTTTTGTTTGTTTTTTGTTTTTTTTCCCCAGTCTTAAGAATTTGAAAGAAACAAGATTCTAAGGCTCAGATTAAAACACACACACAACAAACACACACACACACACACAAAACCCCAGTTCACAGCCAAGGATACCAGCTAGCACATTTAACCGTTTTATGACTAATCTCAGTATTAGGAAAATGTTCACGCATTTAAGTACGTTTATTTCCCTTTTAAAGAAGCTATTTGAGATCAGTTTTAGGTTCACAGCAGATCTGAGTAGGAAGTACAGAGATTTCCCAGGCATCCCCTGTTCCCCACATATGCACAGCCTCCCCCCACTAGAGGGGACATTTGTTACGACTGATGAACTTGCACAGACCCATTAACACCCAAAGTCCATAGTTTCCATCAGGGTTCATTCACTCCTGGTGGCGTACCTTCTGTGGGTTTGGACAAAGGTGTGATGACATGTGTCTACCATTAAAGTATCCTCCAGACTAGTTTCACTGCTCTGCACTCTGTCTGTCCATCCCTCCCTCCCCCTTAGCCCCTGGCAACCACTAATCCTTTTACTGTCTCCACAGTCTGGCTTTTTCCAGAATGTTCCAGAGTTGGAATCATCCAGGATGCAGCCTCTTCAGATTGGCACCCTTCCCTTGGCATTACACACGTAAGGTTCCTCCCTGTCTCCTCATGGCTCGAGAGCTCATCTGTTTTGGGTGCTGAATAGTGTTCCGTGGTGTGGACGTGCCACACGTTCGAGTGGGTCTAAAGCTCTCATGCTGCCACATCTCCCAAGCGCTCGTGCACCGTTTCCCAATTAGGCAGCATCAGCCTCGCGGTGCGTGCAGCGAGCGTGACGGGGCAACGCAGAGCACAGTGTTGTTTGTGAACCTGCGTGTGTATAGTCGTGCATGTGTGTAGGGATCACAGTGCAAAGTGAGTGCTAGGGGCGACCTCTGGGAGCCTCCGATCTGCCACCTCTGGTCTTCGTGTTATCCCTGATTGACTCCTGCCTGGTCGTACAGCTGGGGTACCAAACACCGCTCTGCCTGGGAAGACTGAGCAGTGGGCCCCGCACGGCCCTGCCAACAGGTCTGGGGGCTTCTGTTTTTTAAGCTAAAATTCACCTGCCACGAAAGTGTCGCATGCCGTGTCGTTGGGAATGTTCGAGGTCTGTGCAACCCTCACCCCTGCCAAATTCTGCACATTTTCATCGCCCCCCCCCCCGCATAAAATTGCACCCCCGTGAAGCAGTCATGCCTCTTCGCCTCCTCCCCGGGCACCTGGCGGCCTCCCCTGTGCCTTCTGTTTCTCTGGATTTACCTAGTTTGCATATTTCATGTAAATGCGGTCCTCTGATCTGTGGCCTTTCGTGTCCAGCTACTTTCATGCAACCTGTTTTTGTTTTTGAGGTTCATCCATGTTGTGGCAGGTCTCAGTGCTTCCTCCCTTTTAGCGGCTGGAAAGTATCCCTCAGTGTGGACACACCACTCCACAGTTTGTTTGGGCTGTTATGAACAGCGGAAGCTGCCGTTCACGTTGGCTTGCGGGTTTTCGCGTGGACGTCTGTTTTCGGTTTTCCTGAGTATCTACCTGTGAGTGGAATTGCTGAGCCATACGACAATTCGGTTTAACTTTTGAAGAACCTCCCCGCTGCTTCTTTTTATTTTATTTTTTTAAAGATTTTATTTATTTATTTGACAGAGAGAGACACATCGAGAGAAGGAACACAAGCAGGGGGAGTGGGAGAGGGAGAAGCAGGCTCCCCGTTGAGCAGGGAGCCCGACGCGGGGCTCGATCCCAGGACCCCGGGATCATGGCCTGAGCCGAAGGCAGACGCTTAACGACTGAGCCCCCCAGGCGCCCCTCCCTGCTGCTTCTTAAACACGTGTTTCCTATTGCAAAGCCACCTCTAGCAAGTGATCCCCTTTGCGAACTGAGCTGGCATGGAGAACTTGGTCATCTCCCGCAACAAGAGCCATTTGGAGCAGCCTGGTGGCCACAGAGCTGGGTTTGGAGCAACCTGCCCCCCAGGCTGGCCCGCCTCGATTCCTGGGCTGATATGAACCCTCTTCAATCCTTCTGGGGCTCTTACTGAGCCTGAAAAGTGAGGAGGGGTGGGTGCCGCATCTCAGCCCTCTGTGTGGACCCTCTTTTGGGAAGGTGCTACAGACTCCAAAATAGAGTCCTCAGGTGCAGACTTATTTACCTGTATGACCGGCTTGGGGTACAGCAGTGAAGGGGGACACTGTCCCCTCCCTTGTGGCATTGACAATAGAAGGGGAGAGAGAGACAGCAAATAAACCTAACATTACAAACTGTTACAAGCCAGGAGGGAGAAGGGTGGGGAGACAGGGCTGGGCAGTGATGGCATGTGTGGGGAAGGGCGCCTCATCCTCTAGGGGAGCAAGTCATTCTGGTGTTTTCTCCTTGGTAGGAGGCAGCTTATGGCAGAGGAGTCTGAAAGTTTGTTTGCTGCTCTGTGCGACTTAATTTGCTGTTTCTCCCTCTCTGGGTGGAATCACCGGATTCCTCCCATTTTCTTTGGAAGAGCAGCCGTCCTTGAAACCTAATCCTTTCCTCTAGCTCTTGTCTCCTGATTTCCTGTTGATAAGCAGGAAGTGCAGGGCTGGCTTCCAGTAAGTGGTAGATTCTGGTGGGGTGTGGCTCTGCCCACCTGCCTCTGGTTGGTGGAAGTGGGACATCTGCCCGCAGGGCTGCATAGTTCTCCTAGGTGTCTGCCCCTGACGGTGGGGACCCCCTCCTGAAGCCGCGTCACCCAAGCAGACTTTGCCGTCCCCGGTAAGGACACCATGGGAACGTCCAGTGGGGATGTTTCTGTCGCTTTGTTCCCAAGGTGTCCCAGGCTGAGAGAGGAGGAGAGGGCATAGATGGTAAGAACACACACAGCATCTTAGGAGAGTTCTAGAAACTCTATTTTACATTTCTTGTTCATGTTTGAAATTAAAGTGGTAGAAAAAAAATCCTCATCATGAGGCTGGTGGGGAGGTTGTGCGTTGGGATCTCGCCTTTCTGCACATTCTCAAACCCGAAGCTGTTAGCACAGCAGTGACCTCCTGCATGTGTGTGTGTGTGTGTGTGCACGCACACACACGTGTGTGTGATCATGGCATGTTTGTCAGTTGGCATCTGGACCATGGAATTACAGGATTCTTTCCCCATATCACTGAGAGCCTTTCTTTGTGGTTGCACTGGTTAACTTTCCCCTGCTTTATTGCTTTTTAAAATTAATTAATTTTTTAACTTTTTAAAAGATTTTAAAAAGGGGCGCCTGGGTGGCTCAGTCATTAAGCGTCTGCCTTTGGCTCAGGTCATGATCCCAGGGTCCTGGGATCGAGCCCCAACATCGGGCTCCCTGCTCAGCAGGAAGCCTGCTTCTCCCTCTCCCACTCCCCCTGCTTGTGTTCCCTCTCTCGCTGTGTCTCTCTCTGTCAAATAAATAAAATCTTTAAAAAATAAATAAATAAAAAATAAAAGATTTTATTTATTTGAGAGAGAGAGAGAGAGAGTGAGCACAGGGGGAGGAGAAGAGGGAGAGGGACAAGCAGACTCCTCTCTGAGCGAGGAGCTCAACGACGCGGGGCTCGATCTCACGACCCTGAGATCATGACCTGGGCCAAAACCAAGAGTCGGACGCTTAACTGACTGAGCCACCCAGGCACCCCAAAATACACTTTTGAATATATTTTTATGGAGGGAGGAGCCCAGGGATGTCTGCATGGGGCTCCCATGTGCCGCCAAGTTGCAGAGCCTGGTCTGGAGTTTGGTTTTCATTTCAAAGCTCTATCATTGATGTGACGGACTCGACTGTGCCTCTTTCCTTCAAGGAGTGCTTCCTGGACGTGTAGCATGGTCCAGGGACACAGCAGCAGACAGAGACGCAGGCTCCTTGCTCTTATTTATTTATGTGAGAGAGAGAGAGAGTGAGTGTGAGCGTGCTCATGAGCATGGGGAGGGGCAGAGTCAGAGGGAGAAGCAGACTCCCCACTGAGCAGGGATCCTGATGCAGGGACTTGATCCCAGGACCCTGGAATCATGACCTGAGCTGAAGGCAGACGCTTAACGACTGAGCCACCCAGGTGCCCTGCTCCTGGGATTTTAAACAAGAACGTTATCATTTTAGGATTGCCTTGCATGTTATAAGGTTATCTTGTGTACTAACGCTTCTTTGCATATTGTCTTCACCAATCCTGCCAAGAATGCTTCCAGATGGAAAGGAAAAACTTCATCCCCATTTTACAGATAGAGTAATGGAGGCACAGACCAAGTGATTTACCAGGGACCACTGAACAATCCATAACAGAGAGACTTCTGGTCCTGAAATTCACCTCATGCTTGCCAAACTACAGATCCCTGGGCCTTTTGCCTGGAGATTCAGATTCAGAAGGCCCGGGAGGGGTGCAGGAGTATGGATTTTTTAAAAAACCATGGGTGGTTTCTGGGGCGCCTGGGTGGTTCAGTTGGTTAAGCATCCGACTCTTGATTTTGGCTCAGGTCATGATCTCAGGCTCGTGAGATAGAGCCCCGTGTTGGGCTCCTCACTCAGTGGGGAATCTGCTTGCAATTCTCTCTCTACCTCTGCCCCTCTCCCAGCTCGCTCGCTCACTCAAATAAATAAACAAATAAAATCTTTAAAAAAAAAAAAAAGCATGCGTGGTTCCTAACGACAACTGAGTTTGGGACATACTGCAACGTGGGATCAGATCAGGTGAGGAACTGAGGACAGACACTCTTGGAAGCCTGGTCCAGATCATCCCTTGTTGGGGGGCGGGGGGCTGTCCCGTGCACTGAAGGGGGCGGGGCAGCATCCGTGACCTCCACTCATCAGATGCCCACAGCACATGCCCCAGTTGTGATAACCAAAAATGCCTCTAGACATTGCTAAATGTCCCTCAGGGGACAAAACCACCCGTTGACCCCGGTGCTAAGTACCTGGACCAAAGCACCATCTCCTCTGTTTGGGAGTTGGTGTGTTTCTCATTGACCCAAGCATGTCGTTTTAAAATATGCGCATTTCCGTAAAAAGGCACTGATAAATGCTACGACGCGGATGAAGCTTGAAAACACGATGGCCGGTGAAAGAGTGAGGCACAAAGCCCACGGTGGTAGGACTCCGTCTGCACGAGCTCTCCAGAGTAGATAAATGCACAGAGACAAAGCAGCTTGCTGGCTGCCCACGTCTGGAGAGAGCGGGCTGTGGCTGCCTTGCGGGTACGGGGTCTCCTCTGGGATGGATGAAAAGGTCTTGAACTAGACAGAAGCCGTGGTCGTGCAACACTGTGAATGGATTAAATGCCACTGAATTGTTCACTTGAAAATGCTTCGTTGTAGGCCAGGTGAGTTTTACCCTCATGCAAAATGCGCCCACATGTGTGATTTACTGTGACAGCCGGTAAAATGGGGCCAGAGTGAATTGTACGTACAGGGTAAATCAGAAGGGATATCTCGGGGCACCTGGGTGGCTCAGTCGGTTAAGCGTGTTCGGCTCTTGATTTCAGCTCAGGTCGTGATCTTAGGGTTGTGGGATCGAGCCCCATGGTGGGTTCTGCACTCAGCAGGGGGTGTGTTTGTCCCTCTCCCTCTGCTCTTCCCCCTGCTCACTCTCTTTCTCTCATAAATAAATAAATAAATAAATAAATAAAATCTTAAAAAAAGGGCTATCTAAATGAGGTTGTAACCATTAACGAGAATAGTAAGAGTATAACATGTAATTAAATAATATTGGTAAAGCAAAGGGTAGAATTTGAGGGCAGGTCCTCCGTACTACCGTCTTTGGAACCAGGACAGTGCAGGGGAAGGGGGCAGTCCAGGCTTGCTGACCTTCAGAAGGAAAAAGAACTGAAAGCAGCAGTTCCATCAAGAACTGTGCCTGAGTCACCTACAGCCTGCATTGTAGTTGGGGCAAGTCATTTAAACTTCCCTGGGCCAAGTTCCTCTCCTCTCGAAAAAGAGGCAGGCTGATCCTCCTGGCTCTAAAAGTCTGTGCTGGGGAATAGGCGGGTCCAGGGGAAGGCTATGGAACATTCCAGAAAGTGCAGGTACATGCCAGGACATGCTGGAATATGGCAGGGGCCGGCTCTCTTGGCCTATCAGGGTCAAGCTAGGGAACTTCTCAAGACACATGCTCAGCACCAAGCAGTCAGTCTCAATTAGGACCAGGCAGTGTTCAGCTTAGATGAGCAGGATCAGAAGAGCCAAGCAGGTGAGACTCAGCCACAAGAACTGACCGCCTGGGTCTCCTTTCCACCACCTGCTGCCAGGTGTGAGTGGCCGCCTTCCTCCCCCGCCTGCAAAGCCATCATGAGAGCGTCTCTCTGGCATTCACGGACCTCAGGCGAGGTGTTTCTTCCTCAGGTCGTGATTAACGGAGCCCATTCCCTGGAAGCAGGAATGAATACACGCTTGGATGTGGGTTCTGGTCCTCATAGGAGCTCATTGATTACCTTGCAGGCCTCAGCAACCGGTGGTGAGGTGGCTGGTGAGTGTCTGAGTGGGGAAAAGTGGGGGAGAAGGGGCTGGGAGAGGCAGGCTTCTGAACCCAGAAGTGTTCAGACTCCCCTGTGGAATCTCCTCTGTTGACAGCCGCGGACAAAGGGTTTCAGGGTCAGAGCTTTATTGCGGGGAGGGGGCAATAGCTTTATTTTATGGAGATAGAATCCACCCATTTTAAGTGTACGATCTATGGGGTTTTTGGGGGTATATTCATTCATAGAATTTTGCAACTATCACCATAATCAATTTTACAACATTTTCATCACCCCAAAAACAGACCCCGTACCTTACAGTTGGCAACCCCCAATCTCTCCCCAAACCCCCACCAGCCCTAAGCCCCTACTAATCTACTTCATCTCTATGGGTTTGCTCCTTCTGGGTATTTCATACAGTTTGTGGTTTTCTGTGTCTGGCTTTTTTTTTTTTTTTTCACTTAGCATAATGTCTCCGAGTTTCATCCATGTTGTAGCAGGTGTCAGGAAGGCTTCTGCTGTGCGGATCGACCACATTTTGTTTCTCCATCAATGGCAACCTTTTGCTACGAAATTCATGGTTGTGAAATGGCTACTTGCTGTATCCGCCGTTCAAAAAAGAATCAGCTGTGTGCTATTTGTTAGTAAAATGATGGCTTGTTAGACAGTTTTACTCTGTGTTCTTTGAAGATTTTTCTTTTTTTTTATTATTATTATTGTGGCAAACCAAGGTAGGAACTTTCGAGGATGAACGGGGTTGCTGTTGATGGTTGTACGAGGCGGCAGGTGTGAGTGGGGGCGGTCCTGGGCAAACTGGCAGTATGGATGCCCCGCTCCTGGACCAGGTGCGGGCAGGGAACTATCTTGCTCCAGCAGACCCTCGATAAGGATGCTGAGGAGGCCAGCCCCTGCTGAAGACCCTGTGTGTGATTTCTCAGGCTGACTGCAGGGCTCACTGCTTCCCACTCTTTCCCCATCTCCCTCCAGCTCAGGGTCCATAAAACAACCACAGCCTTTTGTTTGGGAATCTCCCAATGGCGAGAAGACTCCCCACGTCCGGGCTGATCCACCTGAACCTCAGTGGGCGCCCCATTCCCCGGGGGCGGGGGTGGGGGGAGAGGAACAGGAGGGCGTCCCACTTACCCCATCACATTGAGTGATTGAAGGGTTAAAGGGTCATTTTAGGCTGGTTGCTTTAACCCGATGCTCCACACCTGAGAGCCGCGGGAATGGGTCCTTGGTCTTCGATTTGTGAAACGGAGCCTATATTGAGAGGCCTGCAGCTGGTGTGTGAAATGAACAGTAGGCAGGACAAGCCGACCCGCTGAAAGAGGAGGGGCCAGCCACCCACGCGGGTTCCGTGGGCAGGTGGTTCCCTACGCATCAGAGACCCCACCTCGGGGAAGTGAAACCTACAGGGTCATTTTCATTGAAGATGTAGTTTCAATACACCCGCACAAAGGAAGTAGCGTCGCAAGATTTATTATGGAAAGAAATGGGGTGGGGCCCCAGTGAGTCGGGGGACCGGCAGTCCTCTGCTCCAGGTTATGAGGGAGCAGGGGATGGAGAGCAGGGTAGTCTGCACCTGTGACAAGGCGGTAGGGTGGAGGACCCTGACTTTTCAAGTGCTCAACTCTAAGTGGTTATCGTAAAAGGTGCCCCCCCACCCCCCGCCCAGGGAACGCAGGGTGGGAACTTGGGGCGGGAATCCTAAGCTGGGGTTCTCATCTTAAATGTGCAGATACTGCGTGTGAGCTGGGTTGTCCTTGGTCTCATGCCTGCATAGCAACTCAGAAGAGCTGATTTCTCATCACAACTGACCCTGCAATGAGGGATACAGAGGGAAGGATGGTCTTTGCCCTTGACATTATTACACTGTTGTTTAGAGTTTTGCATCCCTGGTGCTTACCTGCCTTCCCTCTTTCCTGTAAAACATCCAAATGCCTTTTGTGGTTTTTTTCCCTCATTCTTCACTAGCTGCCAGTATTACATGCAGACTTCTTGGCCTTTCACTCATAAACAGTTAAAAGTTCTTAAATGTTCCCAATAATGTCTTTTAGAATATTTTTTAAAGTTTATCTTTTAATCTCTGCACCCAACATGGGGCTCAAACCCACGGCCCCAAGATCAAGAGTCGCATGCTCTTTCAACTGAGCCAGCCAGGCGCCCCCATAAACAGTTAAATTTTTTTTAAAAGATTTTATTTATTTATTTGACAGAGAGAGTGCAAGCAGGGGGAGGGGCAGGGAGAGGGAGAGGCAGGCTCCCTGCTGAGTAGAGAGCCCAGTGCGGGGCTTGATTCCTCAGATCCTGGGATTATGACCTGAGCCAAAGGCAGATGCTTAACCGACTGAGCCACCCAGGCGCCCCAAACAGTTAATTTTTGAATAAGCATTCTATGCCTCATAGCAAAATTGAAATGGTGCAGTAAGAATGGACTCTTCCTCACACCTCTGGCTCCCCAACCCAGTCCCCCCCAGTCCCCTCCCCCAGACAAAACCACGGTTACCAGTTCCTGGCAGGTTCCTGCCCGCAGTGTTCTACACATTAACAAGCAAACACATTTATTTTCTCTCTTGCTTCGATCTTTTAACACAGGATGATGGCTTAAAACCTGTAGCACTCTGCATCTTGCTTTCTTGATGGTGGAAATATGGGGAGCACGGTGGTCACTGATGTCCACACAAAGTCCCCTGGAATCTTGATGTTACAGTACAAGGCTAGAGGGATTTTGCAGATAGGATAAGGTTGACAGACCTTCAAATAGAGAGACTATCCTGGATTATCTGGGTGTGCCCAATGTGTTGAGGTGAGTATGGCCCCCTAAATATGTTCACATTCTGATCCCTAGACCCTGTGAATGTTACTTATATGACAAAAGGGACTTTGCAGATGATGAATGTAAGGACCTTGAGTTGGGGGAGATTATCTTGGATAATCTTTAAGATGGGGACAGGAACCATAAGCCAATGAGTGTAGGAAACCTCCAGAAGCTGGAAAAGGCAAGAAAATGGGTTCTCTCCACTCAGCTTCCAGAAGAAATCAGCCCTGCCAACACCTTGATTTTAGCCCAGTGAGATCCACCTTAGACTTCTTTTTTTTTTTTTTTTAAGATTTTTAAGTGATCTCTACACCCAACATGGGGCTCGAACTCAGAACCCTGAGATCAAGAGTTGCATGTTCTGCTGACTGAGTCAGCCAGGCACCCCTGAGTCTCTTTTAGCTGGATGAAGATCTATTGATGTGTTGTTTTCTGTGAACAGGGTGATCATATATATACCTGGTTCATTTATTGAATAATCTTTCTCTCCAACTGTTCGTGATGCTATTTTTATCACATGGTAACTCCTGTGTGTACTTTTTTTTTTTCCTGGTCCCTCTGTTCTCCACTTGAACACAATATGGAGCCAGAACACACTAGACCAATAATTTCCAACGCCTTTATTATGCCAATGAATAAAGAAATCCAGAGAGGTCATGTGACTTTTCTAAGCTCACACTAACTGTGCAAGTAAAGAGATGAGCTAGCGTTCCCCACCCCACCCCAGCTTTTCCAAACTCACTAGTCAACAGGGAGCAGGCTTTATTTCAAAGATAAAAGATACGGCAAAAAATAGAAATCATATGATGCCAGCTCTGAGATTATAATGAAATTAAACTGGAGACTAATAATAGATAGCAGGGAAATCCCAAAATACTTGGAGATTAAACAATACACTTCTACATAACATATGGGGCAAAGAAGAAATCTCCAGAGAAACTAAAAAGTATTTCAAACTAAATGAAAATGACAGCACAACTTAACCAAAATTTGTGGGACTCAGCAAAAGCAGTGCTTACAGGGAAATTTATAGCATTGAATGCACACATTAGATAAGCAGAAAGATCTACAATCAGTTATCTAAGTTTCCACCTTAGGAAACTAGAAAAAGAAGAGCAAATCAAAGAAAGCAGAAGAAATCTAAAAATTAGAGCAGAAACCAATGAAATTGAAAAAGTATATCAGAGTCCACAAAACCAAAAGCTGGTTCTTTGAAAAGATAAATAAAATTTACAAGCCTAGAGCCAGGTTAACTAAGAAAAAGAGAGAAAGGATACGAATTATTAATATCAGAAATGAAAGAGAATGCATCACCATAGATCCTGTGGACATTAAAAGAATAGTAAAGGAATATTAGTCACTCTAAACCCACAAATTTGATAACCTAGACGAAATGGGCCAATTCCTTGAAATGTACAATCTGCCAATACTCATATAAGAAGGAAGAGACGATTTGAATAGGCCTGTATCTATTAAGGGAATCAATAATTAACCAATCATTAATTAACCTTCAAATCAGTAATTAATCTTCCAAAACAAAGCAGCCCAGATGGGTTTGCTGGTGAACTGAACTCTACCAAACATTTAAGGAAGAAATGGTACCAGTTCTCTATAATCTTTTTCAAAAGATAGAAGCAGAGGGAATACTTCCTAACTCTGTGAGGCCAGCATTAATCCATTACTGAAGTCAGACAAACACAGAAACAAAACAAAAAACCCAAACAAAAAACAAACCACAGACCAGTATCTTTCATGAACATAGATGCAAAAATCCTCAACAAAATATTAGCAAATTGAATCCAACAATGTATAAAAGGAATTATACACCACGACCAAGTGGGATTTATCCCAAGTATACAAGGTTGGCTCAACATTTGAAAATCAATTAATGTTATCCATCACATCACACAGACTAAAGAAGAAAAATCACATGATTATTATCAGTAGATGCAGGAAAAGCATTTGACAAAATCCAATACCCATTCATGACAAAAACTCTCAGTCAACCAGAAATAGAAGGGAAATTCCTCAACTTGTTAAAGAATATCAAAAAATCTGCAGTTAACATCACACTTAATAGTGAGAATCTAGAAGCTTTCCCACTGAGATCAGAAATCAGGGAGGGATGTTCCCTCTCACCACTCCTTTTCAACATTGTTCTGGAAGTTCTAGCTAATGCAATAGGACAAGAAA